AGAAATCTCTGTGTATTTTTAGTTCAGGTAAAGGTTATTTATTTAGCATTTTTCAGCAGCAAGGTGATACAAAGTGATTTACGTGATTTAAGAAATGATACAAAAAAGGCAGAGTACTCTAAGACATCATGACACACTTTTTGTTTATTGACCTCTGGGTTTGTAGTTTCATAGTTCTAATTATTGGAACTGGTTTAAAGGGCCTGTGATGTCAAATTTTTGTAATACATATGATTACATTATTTGAAAGAAGACATTGATAAAATATTGCAAAAGAAATTTCACGCCGCTGAGATGATCAGTTGTTGAGATATTTGCCTGTGAACTAACAGGAAGTGATGTCAGAGGGGAACATCTGGATGTAAACAGAGCGATGCTACAACAGCTAACAACACAAACTGTAGAGAAGAATCTGATGTTTCTGTAGATTATTTTTGAGTCTCTATCAGAGAGATGAAGTAGAGTCAGAGTTTAAATATTATTGTTTCATTAAACAAAGACCAGAGAGTTTTATTTGTTAAAGAGTTCCCCTTTGATGTCACTTCCTGTTTCACTTTGGCTGAGACAAGTTCAAAGGAAAATATGCCAATTATGGGATAAATGGGTAAAATTGTGTGTATTGTTCCAACATTTTTAAAAATAAAGATGTTTTCTTTGACTTTTAGTATTTGAAGAATATGAATGTCACAGAAACTTTAAGTGTAAATAATCTGCATAATATAAAGGCTGTGTAATATACTAACATTTGCTTTATGAGAAGGCACTTCAGCGCTATCTAAGCTACAACAAACATACAGAATACAGATACAGGCAACATAATCTAAGACATAAATAGCCAGTGTAATTTAAGACATCATAGGCATTTTTTTGGGGAAAATGTACGTAAAGCTAAATATTTTGAAAAGTATAAAAGGTATAGACCCTAAAAGTCGGCCTTCAGCTCCTGATTCAGCTGCATGTTTTCATACAGAAACAGCTAAAACAGCACAAAGTTTTAACGTAGTTAGATCCCAAAGCCAACTAAAAACAACCCGGTGCTGACTCAGCGTTCAGGCCGTGAGTCGTGCAGTTTTTCAGTGTCCTGGCTTTGAACGTGTGTGACTTTAATAACAGCAGCGCTCTGTTCTGTCCCACATGCTGAACATCACGGCCCGGCCCAGGAGCAGGAGGCCGATCGAGTTTCCTGAGGTCCACACCGAGCGGCTCACAGCTGGAGCAGCTGCAGCGCTTAGATCATCAGTTTGTTCAGCAGGCCTCTGGTCTCTGCGTCAGGAGGTGTTAGCTGTAACATTAGCCAGGGGGGGAGGGGGGCAGGGGGTCACCAACATGACCAAAACCTTCAGTGTGTCATTTGTGTTGTTGTTTCAGCCTCATGCTTCAGGAAATCAGGCCCTCTCAGCAGGAGAGCTGCTCTCCCATCGACACACTTTCCTCACATCTTCATCTCACGCTGTTTAATAACCGAGCTGCAGAAGGACCGAGCTGCAGAAGGTCTGAGCTGCAGAAGGTCTGAGCTGCAGAAGGNGAGCTGCAGAAGGTCTGAGCTGCAGAAGGTCTGAGCTGCAGAAGGTCTGAGCTGCAGCGCACAAATCACAGCTCAGAGAAAAGGAAGAGTTATAAATCTCACAGCTAGAACAAGAAAAACTCCTCCTGAGGATTCATTTATTGTCATTTGCAGGTTAATAAGAGTGAACGATGCTGTGAACTTCTTAAGATGAGAAGAAACCCTTCGACTCCCTATAAACCAGGGATCTTAACCTTTTTGACCTCGGGGCCCAGTTTATTGAACATAAAGAGACACGAGGCCCAGTCACACATTACCAATGTATGGATCAAAATGATAATTATTCTAAATCTTGGTTTAATTTTTTTATTGTATTTACATATAACTAATCTAACATAACTAAATTAAATACACTTACAGTTTTAAAGTAAATCTCCTGTCAAATAATCACAAGACATGAATAACAAACAGTTTTATATTGTAACCTGCCCATAACAATTATTTGAACAAATACAAAGGTCAGTCAACAGACCACTCAGGCTTATCAACACAAAAATACATATTTTGTAATTTAAACAATAACAAAAATAGACAATTCAAAAAATAAAATCATGGGCATAAAATAAATAAATTAAAAATGTTTAATGTAAATGTTTCAAATAAAAAAATTGTAAAAATAAATTTGATAAAGTACAAATGAAAATATAACATTTTTAAACTATTGCAACCAGAAGCTGCTCTTCATATTAGTGACAAACTTTGGTGTTTTTTGATGGGTTACCTTTATTTTTGCTTCTACTTTWCYTTTAAAATAAGTTTCCATTCTCAGCAGGTTTCTAAGGTTCTTCTTCTCTGTATTAAAAAAGTTGTTAAACATCTGAGTGGTGCACTACTGCTACTAGTGGTGAGAAAGTGTATTYCACCTTATTAAAATCAATGTGGTCCCACGGCCCTCTGCGGCCCAAAGTTAAAAACTGTTGTTCTTTTGAGGCCCTGAAGGTGGCGCTCACCCACGGGTTAAGAATCTCTGCTTTAAAGGGTATTTAGTAAAGTTTAGTTTTATTCAAATCTAAGCTGGCCGACCTAAAATCAAGAGAAACTGAAGCTGCTGACAGTGGGGTGGCCATGGTAACCACACCGCTGCGTCTCTCACTCCCTGGCAGGGTGAAAACCGATGATGTTTTTTTATTAATTAACCCTTCATGTGTTCAGAATGAACACTGGTGTTCCCCCTGGCCTCAGCCGGAGCAGAACCTCCTGGTTCCTGGCAGTGAAACGTGATGTTTATAATCAGTCCTTTATATCTTGTAGCTGCTGACCCCGGGGTTAGCGGCTGCAGCTGATATTTCATCCTTTGTGAGCAGTTAGTTATACAAACACTGTGCTGAGGAAACAGTGGAGGGGTCTGAGCAGGTAGAGACGGGGATCTGTCGACAGCGAGCCTTGGAAACGCTTCCATCTGCATAATGAGGCGGAGAGGCGGCGAGCGGCGCGGCCTTGAGCTGAAAGAACAACTCTGAGCAGAGAGAAGGCGATGAAGTTTCACTAAAGTGTTTCCTGGCAGCGCGCAGAGTGTCAGAGCCCACTAAACCCGTCAGGACAGGATTTCTACTGTTTCCCTGTGTGAGTGTTGGAGCAGGCAGCAGGTAGAAACACCCTGCAGGTGAAACACTTTCTGTTTTTCTCTGCTGCTCAGAACCGTTCCCGACCCGGCCTGGAAGTGTTTCAGTCCCGTCGAAGCACCAAGGAGAGGAGCTCCTCTGCTTCGAAACATCCTTTTATGTGAGAGAGAAAGGCGGTTCTGTCCCATGATGCTTTGCAGCTGCCGCTCGCTCTGACAGCTTCACCCATCAGGACGAGAAGCAGAGGAGCACCTGTGAAAACACAACGTTTCCTGGCTTTTACTAAAGCTGTTAGCAAAATATCTTACCCTCCAAACAGTGGGGTTGTGAAACAAAAAGAAACGAAACAAAGTCAACAAATCAAACGTTTAAACGTGTGTTTTTGTCAAATCTTGTCCTGAATTTGTCTCTGCGGCGCAGAGGGAGTTGAACGTCAGGTTAAATGTAAAGTTCGGACCTTGTGGCATCACATGGCGCACACATTTTTGTGTTTTGGCCAACGTACACTCTCACTGTTCTCTGTTTTTTAACAGAGATGAAGGCTGGCTCAGTTTGACGCTCGGGCCTGGGTTCAGAACACGACACCTCTCTCGCATGTCAGAGCGGCCGGGTCGAGCCGAGCGGAGCGGGACTGAAGTTTTTATAATCAGAATTTATTTCCAGCTGTTTGTCTTGGCCTGTGCTCGCTCTGATGTTTTATGTGTTGGACAGACGGGGACTGCAGAGGAAGAACAGAGATGCTGAGAGGCATGAACAGCTTGTCAGCACCTGATGGAACGGTTCTGTTCAGAGAAACCCAAACATTGTTCAGGCACAGAACCTCCGACATCTCAGTCCTACAAAGATAAAACAAACCGTCATGTTGACATTTGAGCTAACAGTTGTTTACCCTCCTGAGACCCGAGCCTTTTCTGGATATGCACTTTTTTCTTTCTCTAAGATACACGGGATTAGTAGGACCT